TATATATATATATATATATATATATATCATAACCAAATATCTAGAAGTAATAAAATAGCGATATCCAAATATAATTATAAGACAAACTCGTCATGATTATTTAGTATATTTAATATATAGGCAAACAAACAGAGAATCCATCGCTCAATTCCAAACATGTATTCTTGGTGGGTTATTATTTTCTCTATCCCCGAGCAAGTAGAATCCATCCTCTTTGACCTTCCATTCACAAAATCCTGAACTCTGTGTTGATGAGGCCTTGGGGCAATATTTCCCGGATAAGCTTTTATCAAAAACAGTAAAGGCCGCAGTATTTGATTTCCAAATAAACTTACCATAAAAGAGAGTTGTCTTACCGACATTCATGCAAAAGCTCCAACTTTTGCCTCCATCAGGTTCAATTCTATTATTTCCTAGATCATTGTTTTTTGACTTTACATGAACATTGATTGGATCCGTAAGCTGGTTGTGTATACGCACAGTCCATTCTTTCACGAAATAACAATCTAGATTGGATGTTATGTTACCTACTTGAGATATATCAGAAAATGCATTTGCTATGATTACAAGGTAAAACATTATGAAAAGCAAGCTCATCGTGGGTGTCTTGAATCTTGAATGAGTAAATAAGAAAATAGTTCTACCCATGTATATAAGTTAGGATAAAGTAGTTTGTTAACTCATTCCAAATGAATGATAGCTTGTTTTGTCATTTGAAAGAAATGATAACATTGTGTTTCAACATTTAAGAAAACCGTACTTAAGTAATAAATACGCGAATATCATCAAGCGTAAATTTCAAAAATCATCCACGTAGTTAGGTTCAATATACAAATTTCATCTTTAAGCGAAAATTTTCACTTCGACAACCCATATGATATATTTTAATTGTTGAAATTTTCATTTTTGGTCCAACTTATTTTAATACCATAGTTAAAATCTTGTTTAGATTTAAAAATTTCATGGAGACATTTCTGGAAGAAGAGAAGATCCTCGTTACAAAATTGTTATTGGGATTCCTGAAGATTTTAGAGACTATGTGAGAAAAGTATCCACACTATTTTAATATGATGGTTGAAGAAGATGGGAAGAGATACAAGTTTTGACCTAATTTTGGACGAGATATCAGTGATTAGTTTGTTCTAGGATATGTTGAGGATGCTTAATTTTAGCAAGCTCGGAATCCTCGAAAATTTCTCTATACAGGTTGTTCTGGAAGTTACCTCCAAACAACTTCCAATTGAAGCTCAAATCATGTCGTTGAGATTGTTTCCTTTGATGGACAAAGAAAAGTGAAACAAGTTAAAAGACGATTAGGGGTGGCGGATAGGTGGCGTAGAGGGTTTGTTGTTGGTGTCTCTATATATATAAGACTAATTATGTAACACCCATAAAATCATGCCAAATTTGAACTAAAAAAACATTTCAACCCATTAAAATCATTACATCCTTGTTTTCAAATGTATAATATCAGAGTTTTCCCAGAATCATAAACAAAACATGAGGAGCTGTACGATCATGCCTTCGCCTTGCCGCGATCCCCTGATGTACCTGAAACAATAAACTGAAACTGTAAGCCCGAAAGCTTAGTGAGTTCCCCCAAAATACCCATACTCACATTAATACAAAGAGAATCATAAACAACATACTATGGGTCCAGTCAACCATCAGGTTGGAATACCCCAGGCCCACAACCAACAGGTTGGAATGCCCACATACTATGAGTCCGATCATCCTCGGTATGGAATAATCATGGCCCACAACCAACATGTTGGAATGCCCAGGTCTATTGGCCTCCACACAAAGCAGATAAGCCTCAACCACCAAACAAACATGTGCACATATAACAGATAATCACATAACAGTCTATAGACAATATTGATCTAACATATCATACTACATAGCACCTAATACCATCCTATATACCTGGATCCCGATCTAACAAATCATACCACATACCATATAATATTATATTACCATCTAGGATACCGATCTAACAGACCATACTAACATAACATAACCAGATAACAATCCAAAGGGCCGACCTTGGTGCCTTAGACCCTTGAGTATAATGATGACAACTCACCTCTCAACCGTCACCTCGAAAGATAGCTCAACCTCTCAGATCACCGACACGAACTCCACCACCTATAGTCACCATCAAACCATGTTCATAAATTTCTCATTTCCCAAAATGCCCCCAGAAGTCCACTGGTCAACCCTTGGTCAAAGTCAAAGTCAACGGTCAAGGTCAACAATCCATGTTGACCTCAACTCGTCGAGTACCCTTAGATACTCGCCGAGTTCCTAGCATAACTAGTCAACTCGCCGAGTCATTAGAGTGACTCGTCGAGTTCCTACGGTTTGCGGTCGTAACCTCTTTGGCCAGCTCGACGAGTTCCTCCTGCCACTCGCCAAGTCCATACGTGTCCAAAGGTTGGGAAAACCATATCCGACTCGCCGAGTCACTCATATGACTCGCCGAGCCCACGACAATCTTCATCGGACTCGCCGAGTCTTCCATGAGACTCACCGAGTCTCTTCAGTCCTTTATCCATACAGAGTCTTTTTAAGCCATGCAAGGGCTCCAAATTGTAGATCCAGCTTCCCAAGGCATGTTTATCACGTAAAGTTGCAAACTTTACGTGCATGAAAAGCTCTAAAGTCTTAAAATGACAACACCAAGCTTGTAAAGAAGTCTCACACTTGAGGGAAGGCTCATACTTGTCAAAGCTGATAACTTTATGGATCTAGAGGCCAAAGAGAGTCCAGATCTGAAGTTACAACTTCAGATCCTGGCTTAAACACAATAAACCTTTCCTAACACCCACCCCAAAATAGATTAAAGATGAAATGAGCCAAGGAAACAGCCTAATACCTTCAAGAGAGTGTTAACTGAAGTAGACCTTTTCTTCCCCATGAGTTCCTTGCTTCAATTTACTTGTTTTTCCCAAGAGTTTCCTCACCAAGATCCCTCTTCCAAGCTTTAACACACCAAAGAAACACACACAAACGATTTAGGGTTTAAGGATGTCAATAAGCTGTAAAGGGGAGGATGGGGAGGCCAATGATCCTTTAAATAGGGTGCATAACCCCGGAACTTAGGGTTTCATCTGCCAGCTCCTACTCGTCGAGTCCCTTCTTGGACTCGGCGAGTAGGTCACTAAAACATGTGGACCAACCCGCTGCTACTCGACGATTAGGGCAACCAACTCGTCGAGTAGACCTTGAAATCAAGAAAATCTTATCAAAATCAATACCTGAGAATCGGGGCGTTACCATAGGAGTTAACATGGTTTGATCATAAGTAAAAAGAAGATGCAACTTTTTAAAAACTATATTGATTTCCTAGGAGTTAACATAGGAGAAGGAAAAATAAAATTACAACCTCATATAACCCAAAAGGCTCTAGATTTTCTAATAAGTTAGAAGATTTAAAATCCTTACAAAAGTTTTTGGGTTTAATAAATTATGTTAGACCATTTATTAAAGATTTAGGAAAAATCGTTGGATCTTTATATTCTAAAACATCTATTACATGTCAAAGATATTTTAATCAATAAGATATAAAATTAGTACAAATATTAAAAGAAAAAATTAAAAACCTCCCAGAATTAGCACTTCCATTAGATACAAATTATTTGATAACAGAAACAGATGGATGTAGTCAAGGTTGGGGAGCAATTCTTTGTTGTAAACCAAGCAAATTTAGTGAAAAAAAAGTTTGGAAAGAATTTGTAGATATAATAGTAGTAAATTTAAAGAAAAAGGTAATATAAGTAGCATAGAGGTAGAACTACTTGCCATCAATTATGCGTTAGACATTTTTGAATTATTTATCATTTCTAAAAAAGAAATAAATCTTAGAACTGATGTGAAGCTATTGTTTCTTTTTACAATAAAATAAATGGAGATAGTAAAAGAAGTAGTAGAAGAAGATGGATAAATTTCTTAAATCGAATAAACAACACTGGATTAACTATTAATATAGAACACATTAAAGGAAAAGATAATAAGGCAATTTATATTTTAAGTAGATTATTAGAAAATAAATTTATAAAAATTAATTATGTTTTTTCCATCTCAGATGTCTCGGTCCAATTCAGGTAATCCTCGAGGTCATCCACCATTTTGTGGTATGGTAAGGCCAGAAGGAATTCCACCAGTAAATTCTTTTGGAGCAAGACCAATACAATCTTCAAACAAATACTATTATGATAATATTAGATTTGGTAATCAGACTTTACAAGTTTTTCCAAAT